AAAGCACGAAAACGGCGAGAACATGCATTTTCCAAGCCCTTACATTTCGAAATTTGAGGATTCCCGCCAGGCTAAGACGCAGAGTTGCAAAGAGCGCACCGTTTTTAACTGTGGCGGCATACGTACTCTGCCGTCTGGCAGGAATTCAAACAGCTCGGAGGACCCCGCCCCGAGGCGTAAGTTTCCCCACTTTGCAATTGTTTTTCTTGCTTTAGGTCACGTTTTATGCTCGCAGTTGCGCGATGTTGTGTCTCAGGGAGGCCAGTCTCACATGCAGAGAAATCTCAAAACCCCCATCTTGCCCGGACACTGCCTTTAAGTTCATCAGCTTCAGTCCGGGGCAGAGTTCTGGCAGTAATACCAATCCGAAACTATTAATTTACATCTCGCTAAATGTGGTTTTGAGGCGCTACCTTCCTATCAAACGAGAGTATCGCATTCACTAAGTCACAGTAATCTCACTATATCCGCTAGAATACAATTCGAGAAATTTTCGCAACAGACATCGCAACAAGGATGAACATCTACGACTTGTAGGCTTTACAATTCACGCTCATTGTCTGAAGATGACTAGTAAAGCGATGTGGAAATTTAGAGTCGCTGTGCTGTTTAGTCTGTTCTCTCTGATAGGATCACGTGTTGTGCAGCCTCCTTTCCCGCACAAGTCTTGAATGGATGGTGGAGTTTTATATAGCAACTAGTTGACTTACCCGGCTCCGCCCGGCCCTGTCATTATTATATGTAATCAGCATGCTCGATTACCCCCCCCCCCCCTGTGCCAACTCCCAGCCCCGTAGCTCAAATTTTGCAAAAAATCGATAAAATCGATATCGATCGATGACGAAAAGTAGCCTATGACACCCGCCGGGCCCCGAAGTGTATGTGTGCCAAGTTTGGTCGGATCGGTTGAGAAATGGAATTTTCTATTCGGAACATACGTACACACATACAGACAGACAGAGAAACAGACATTCAGCTTTATATATAGGACTAGCTGGCTTACCCGGCTCCGCCGTATCCGGACCAAACTTGGCACACATACACTTCGGGCCCCGGCGGGTGTCACAGTCCACTTTTCGTTATCGATCGATGTCGATTTTACCGATTTTTATCGATTTTTTTGCAGAGTTCACGTACAGGGCTAGGAGTTGGCACAGGGGGGGGGAGTGAGCATGGGGATTCCGAATACAATATTAGCAGTGGCGTACCCAGGATTTCGGCTCGGGGGGGGCGCGGCAAAAAAAATTTTTAAATGAAGGTGCGTGGCGTTAGCCACGCACTCCGAAAAAATTTTAGGGGGGCTCCTCAACAATTCTGCGGGCCCCCAACCCCTAAAATCTGGAAAAAGGGGGCGTGGCGTCAGCCACGCCCCCGAAAAAAATTTTTTTATAAGGCTAATTTGAATTTTTAAAAAATTTTAAAAATTATTTTAATTGTTTACAAAAATAAACAAGTCATTTGCACATTTTTATAACGCATGTAAGTAACTTTCAAAAATTTCGCGACCCGTTCTCGGGGGGGGCGCGCGCCCCCCCCGCCCCCCCCTCGGTACGCCACTGAATATTAGTATTCAGAATTATCGATTACTTTTATTGATTTTATCGATTTTTTGTAAATTTTGGCATGCGAGGCTGGGATTTTGCACAGGGGGGTAATCGAGCATGCTGATTACGAACACAATATTAGTTTTCAGGATCGTCCATTACTTTTATCGATTTTATCGATTTTTTGAAAATTTGAGTTAGGGGGCTGGAATTTGGCACAGGGGTGTAATCAGCATGCTCGATTACCCCCTTGTGCAAAATCCCAGCCTCGCATGTCAAAATTTACAAAAAATCGATAAAATCGATAAAAGTAATCGATAATCCCGAAAACCAATATTGTATTCGGAATCCCCATGCTCGATTACCCCCCTGTGCGAACTCCCAGCCCCGTAGCTCAAACTTTGCAAAAAAATCGATAAATGATAAAAGTAAATGATAATTCTAGAAACCAGTATTGTATTCGTAATCAGCATGTTCGCTTACCCTCCCGTGCCAACTCCCAACCCCGTAGTCCAAAATTTGCAAACAAATCGATAAAATGATAAAAGTAATGGGCATTTTTGATAATGGTTATCAAATTCGTAATCAGCATGCTCGATTACCCCCTGTGTGCCAACTCCTAGCTCCGTAGCTTGAACTTTGCAAAAAAATCGATAAAATGATAAAAATAATTGATAATTCTAAAACCAGTATTGTATTCGTAATCAGCATGTTCGCTTACCCTCCCGTGCCAACTCCCAACCCCGTAGTCCAAAATTTGCAAACAAATCGATAAAATGATAAAAGTAATGGGCATTTTTGAAAATAGTTATCATATCCGTAATCAGCATGCTCGATTACCCCCGTTTGCCAACTCCCAGCCCCGTAGCTTGAACTTTGCCAGAAAATCGATAAAATGATAAAAGTAATGGGCATTTTTGAAAATGGTTATCATATTCGTAATCAGCATGCTCGATTACCCCCGAGTGCCAACTCCCAGCCCGTAGCTTGAACTTTGCCAAAAAATCGATAAAATGATAAAAGTAATGGGCTTTATCGAAAACCAGTGCGTCACCTCTGCTTCGCAGAGGCTCGCACTGGCCCTCTTTCTGTATGCCTTGCTCATTCCCGCATAAAAGTGACATTGAAACTTACCGCGCTATGCAGGCTATCACGAATGAATTGTAAACAACTACTCATTTCAAGAGCTTTTTTGTGTGAGACCGGTATTTTCGCCTGGATGAAACTTTTCCGAGAAGAATAAATGCAAATTTGAACCGGTTTTTGAACTTTTTGTGGTTTGCTAGTCGCGATAACGACGATAATCATCGTGGGCTACATCTCTGTGCAAAAATTTTCCCAAATGATTAGGTAAAATCTTGGCAAATTGAACATTTACGCAACTGATTTTTTTCGACGCCATTTCCGTAAAGTAATCAACTTTAGTTCAATTTTATGGGCTAAAGTCCATGGCTTGCACATTAGCTTGTTAATCATACCCATGACTTTGCAAAAAGCGGTGGTACAGGCCCAATTTTGCTGGCCAGAATCCAAGTGGATCCGTTTGAAGCGCAGTTTTTGAAGGATCCACTCAACGGATCCGCTCGTGTTTTTGCATAGTGGACTTTCATGCTGCTAGCATGCGCCCTGCAAAATTTGGGCTCAAGAGGTTGGCTGGAACTCGCTCTGCGAATTTCGTAACGGACAGACACACACACATACAAAAACACGTAAACAACCCTTAGCCCGTTATTATGAGTCATGATGGTTATCATATTCATAATCAGCATGTTCGATTACCCACCTGTGCCAACTCCCAGCCCCGTAGTTCAAAATTTGCAAATAATCGATAAATTTGGTAGAAGTAATAACAAGCTTCCATGCTGGAAAATGACAAACACGAAAACACCATCGAGGACCTACAGACAGCATCAACAAGCATGCTTATCCACCAGCATACAGACAAGCCACCAGTGTACAGACAAAATCCCACTCGGTTTTATATATATAGAAGGATAGGATGTGCGAGCATTCCGCCTCTACGAGATTGGCGCTATTCTAACATCCAGGCCTCAAATTTCGGATCTGTGTTTTGCTGGACAGTAGATGGGCATTCTCCCACACATTATTTACGAAATTTTTCCGACAACTTATTTTTTTCTTGCATTGTGTGTCGGGGTCAAAACCGCAGATTTGGCTTTGATTGGTCTAAGAGGCCCTGGTATGCTAGATACAAACAGCATACTTATTTTTGCCTAATGAGGCTTTTTCTTGAAGTTATGCCGTGGACCTTGTCCTTTTCGGGCAGATGTGCCTATGCTAGGTGATTACAAAGTGACGAACAGTGGCGATGGGTACTAGCATGGTGCTAACTCTTTTTGCATATTTGCGACGCCAGCGCAAAAAAGCGCTTACCTAAGTATGAGTTTCAGTGCGACGCGAACTGCGGTGCGTACTGAGCCGACGGTGACGGGCCGCGGGCCGGTCCTCGTCGAATTGAGTGGGACTTGTTGCAATGGGCTATCTGGAGGTCTCTATAATAGGATATGTGAAGATCCGCGCAACCTCAACTTTGGTGAGACACTGCCTTTAAACAGAGACCGTAGAGCATTTCGAGACTTTGACGTCTTACTGAATACTCACCGAAGCTGAACGGACTTCGAGCGAGCTGAGAATTCACTCGCACTGGTTCGTCACCATTCTTCTTGAACAACTCCGACTGGACCCTGGGATCGACAGCTAAGATCTAAGAAAAAACATTAATACAAGGCAACGAATTAAAATGACAATGAACAATGAAGCTTAACAATGAAGCTTAGAAATGTATTTAACGATGTGCTTTCCTTGCTGATGAATACTGAATGCGTTCTATGCAATCCTAATCTGTGCTCCAACGTTCAACTACTCAGATACTGCGTCCGGCCGAGCCGCGGACCTTTTCAGGCTGGAATTTCGCAGCGTCCGCGGCTCGGCCGGTGCAATCAATATTCACAGTGTCTGAGCCCATCATTGAGGCCGCGGCTGAGCCGGTAAGCCTATTTAGTCCGCGGCTCGGCCGGTGCAATGATATTGACATGAATTAAGGTCCGCGGCTCGGGCGGACTCCGGCCACGCCCACAAATTAAGACAATATTACTTCTACAGCCACCGCGTCTTACAGTTATTTAGGCGTAAAATCAATTGTGTTGCGTACTTTGCACAACACAATTGATTTTACGCCTAAATCGCCCAAAGTTGGCGTCTTGGTGGAAAAACTTGTTTTTTTTGTTTTCTGACTAGCGGCCCAGTGGGGTACTGGTGTAAGAAATTACTTTTTCGAGACTTTCTCTATCCTGTATGAATGATTTGAATCTTTACTTTCAAAAACATGAAATAGAACCTCAGATTTCATTAGGCAACCAATTCAACACTCAATTTGATAAATGCTTATCATGATCTCTGCAATTTATGGCAAAATAAACACATTGAACTATTTCATAGATACTACCGCAATTTATTAGTAACAGAAGCAACAACTATAGTATCAACAACTATGTCAACAACATGTAACCCGATCGGAGCAAATGCTAGGATTGCTATAAAAACGAAAAAACTATCAACTCTATAAACTATCTATTATTATATGATATCTGAGCAAAGACACAATCTAAGATGAGGAAAAGTGAACAAAATGATAACCTAGATCAGCTATTTTATTCGTATAAACATAACATAGACTACATCTACTACTGCAATTCATTAGTATAAGATAACAAGCAACAACTATACCATAAAGAACTACATGTCAACAACATATAACCTGATTAGTACAAAATGCTAGAAAATAGTAAAAGTAAAAAAAGTAAAGAGAGAAGTAAACAAAATGATAACCTAGGTAGGATATTATACAGCAACCAATTCTAAATTTTTACCTCCGTAGAAAAGAGCTACAAAATTCTTAAATTTAGACAATCATAAACCAAAAGTGTACATTTTATCCATTGACACTCACTCACTCGGCGCCCGTGGTACTTCGATGACAAATATTATGCCCAAAGGTAAATAACATTTGTAAAGCGTCAAGTTTGGGTGTTTCAGATACACTAAAGCCATTCGCATATGGACTCTGAATTCATCGACATCACTTACAGAAACTGGAAAGGCCTGAAAACAAAGCATCGGAACGGCCTATATGTAACACTTGCCAATTTGATTAGGCACCAACTGCGTGCCATTAAGTGTTAATCACAATTCTTCAGAGAAGAATATCACAAACCTGGTAAATTCGCCTTCTCAAACTCTCTTCATCAATGTGTTTCCATGGATGGGCTCTTCAATGATATCACCACTATCTCAAACATTGCTTCAAGTAGGGTCAAATCATGAAGGCATCCTGCAATGATCTGTAAAGACGAACCATTCAAACCACTACCAGCTCAACTATTCCTACTTGCTTGAAGTCGATCTTTAAGGTATTGGCGGTAGACTGCAAATCTGACAAACAAATAAAGCTGTGCGTGGAAACTCGTACACGGGAAGATGCTAAATGGAACTATAAACACAATAAATTAGCGAAAACAGCATACACTATCACAATAGCAGGCTTAGTCAGGCTGATTGAGATCTGTAGCTATAGAGCATATATCCTTCTATGTGCTCAACTTCTGTCTAAATCACACAAAAGTATAGTTGAACCACGGACAAATTGTTTCAACTACTTACGCATCACGACCAGTTATGTTTTGTTCCTTGCCAAAAACAACAGAGTTTTAGTCAGGTTTAACAGCGGCAAACGGTTTTCCCTCAAATATGTTGCACATAAGATCGTTCATAAGAGCTTTACGCTGCTCAGTCGTTGCTAATTCGTAGATTAACCCGACTTCGCTCGAACCAATATCTTGCATGAAGTCTGAATGGAAATAATTTTGATTCGTGGTTTTATAAAAGCTGAATCGACAATCTCTTTCTAGTAGTCCCATTCCAAAAGCTGACTAGACTCTATCCAACATCACTTGCAAAATAGCAGCTTTGGTCTTGGACTTTTCCTTACTATAACAAAGAACCAAAAAAGTGCAAATCTCCGTTATGATTTGTGAAAGAAAGTTTCTCAAATACTTTGGACAGTATACGGCTCAAACGGTCTTCGCACTTCTGTTGACATCGCTAGCTAGAGAAAGGAGCTAAAAGAAAGAGTGCAGTGCTTAGCCAATTCTCTCATTAAAAATTTATGACGTCATCTAAGCCACCAAAGAGAGATTGGATAGAAAGAAGATAGGAACAGAAGCGTTTTCGCTCATCTCTAATCAATCCAAAGAGTGAGAAATCTCAGAAGCCAATAAAATAGCCCAGACCTTTACCCATTGAAACTCGACCAGACACCAACGCCATCAAACAGGCCCACAATGCGGCCGAAAATTCCATCATCAAAAATTAATAAATTACATGAACGGATTGCAACAACTCACCTGCGTCTTTTCCTTCTACTCTGTGCTTGAGACATTCCATCGTCTCCGTGAGCATTCTTAGTGCTTGCGCTCTGATCGACCAAACATCATTATTTTGAAGATTATCTAGTACAAACGTCAGTATTTCTTGACGGTGGAGTCGAATAGCTGCTTCCGTACCTAATGTTCGAATAGTAAAGAAAATGCTGAAAAAAGCACACTGCCTTACTAGGCACTAATTAGTTCCACACTTCACATCATTCCTTATTGCGCTTTTTGGATGCTTCTTCTCCTCCGATGATTGGGATGGAAAGAAAATTGTGATCATAACACATGAATCTGTACCTTGGACCTTCGGGCTGCCACTTCCCTAGAAAAATACAGGACACAATTAGTTTGGATTAACCTTCGAGTAATTGCGTACAATTTGCTGACAAGTTTTTGAGAACATATTTAGCAGACTATTTCATAGTTTCTAAAAAGAACGAGTTATCATCAGTCATTAAGAGGAGATTTTCAGCTCTGTGTTGAGTTGTGCCCTTTTGTCCGATGATCTTAGTCAAAAAAGTAATAATGAGTGACACCTTACCATCTTCTCCCAACAAGTCCTTCAATAAAGCTTTCACCAAGCGCCGAAAGAACTTGAAGAAGCATATTTTGCTAGGTATAAAACAGCACTGGCGAAATGCTTCCTCACAAATGAGTTGCGATCCCTAATTCCGGCGATGGGTGCATTGAAAAATTTATCTGCAAATCTCAATGAGGTTGATCCACGATTACATATGACAGATTCATACCGCATTGAGCGGGGTGGTCCATAAGCAGCTGCGGCGCTTTAAGTGCCAGCACTGTCAACAGTTGAGCACATGCAGTTCTCGTACTGGCACCTGCACTCGAACGGAGCTGCTCGCACAAGCGAGGTTAAACACCAATCAGAACACTGCTATCAATCTAGAACAAACAAGAATCAAATCAAAACATATAAAGGGAATTCTTTCAGAAACCTGAGGAATGAGGTCATGAAAGGTTATCTCAGTCATGTGCGCGCAATTTGGGCTCGTGCGTCGTCCAGCTTAAAAAAAGAAGTTCACACGACCCAGTTGACACAATGCATCTGTCGAAAATCATGATTCACTGACCACTTCTAGCTCACCAAGACTTGAACAATAAGCACCATAATTTAGATTGCAGGCTCAGTATCACTTATAGCGTTGATGAGAGATGGAATCAATTCGTGCAAATACGAACGCAGTTGTTTTCCAGCTTTCTTAGCCACCTCCAAAAGTAAAGAGATGCCGCAAACATATGTAATAAGTCACCAGTACAATCTTGAATCTCATCACACCTGAACTACTTGTTGATTTTGGGGTCCGAGTGTATAACATTTCGGATAAGTACCGGAAGGAAAGAGTCAAGAAATGCATGTGGATCTTGACCTTTAGTCTCGGAGGAAATCCGAACAACTAACTTTCCAAGGCTCTTCAAGCAGGCCGTAAGTCCAAGTTCGGCACCCTAGGACAAAACCCAATAATGAAGAAGTACTACGTGAAATCATACTACTTTTTTAGTGTTCCACCGAGAATTGTGTCTTGCAAGATTCATAAATTTGTAGACAAGGTCAGGCTGATTGAGATCTGTAGCTATAGAGCATATATCCTTCTATGTGCTCAACTTCTGTCTAAATCACACAAAAGTATAGTTGAACCACGGACAAATTGTTTCAACTACTTACGCATCACGACCAGTTATGTTTTGTTCCTTGCCAAAAACAACAGAGTTTTAGTCAGGTTTAACAGCGGCAAACGGTTTTCCCTCAAATATGTTGCACATAAGATCGTTCATAAGAGCTTTACGCTGCTCAGTCGTTGCTAATTCGTAGATTAACCCGACTTCGCTCGAACCAATATCTTGCATGAAGTCTGAATGGAAATAATTTTGATTCGTGGTTTTATAAAAGCTGAATCGACAATCTCTTTCTAGTAGTCCCATTCCAAAAGCTGACTAGACTCTATCCAACATCACTTGCAAAATAGCAGCTTTGGTCTTGGACTTTTCCTTACTATAACAAAGAACCAAAAAAGTGCAAATCTCCGTTATGATTTGTGAAAGAAAGTTTCTCAAATACTTTGGACAGTATACGGCTCAAACGGTCTTCGCACTTCTGTTGACATCGCTAGCTAGAGAAAGGAGCTAAAAGAAAGAGTGCAGTGCTTAGCCAATTCTCTCATTAAAAATTTATGACGTCATCTAAGCCACCAAAGAGAGATTGGATAGAAAGAAGATAGGAACAGAAGCGTTTTCGCTCATCTCTAATCAATCCAAAGAGTGAGAAATCTCAGAAGCCAATAAAATAGCCCATACCTTTACCCATTGAAACTCGACCAGACACCAACGCCATCAAACAGGCCCACAATGCGGCCGAAAATTTCATCATCAAAAACTAATAAATTACATGAACGGATTGCAACAACTCACCTGCGTCTTTTCCTTCTGCTCTGTGCTTGAGACATTCCATCGTCTCCGTGAGCATTCTTAGTGCTTGCGCTCTGATCGACCAAACATCACTATTTTGAAGATTATCCAGTACAAACGTCAGTATTTCTTGACGGTGGAGTCGAACAGCTGCTTCCGTACCTAATGTTCGAATAGTAAAGAAAATGCTGAAAAAAGCACACTACCTTACTAGGCACTAATTAGTTCCACACTTCACATCATTCCTTATTGCGCTTTTTGGATGCTTCTTCTCCTCCGATGATTGGGATGGAAAGAAAATTGTGATCATAACACATGAATCTGTACCTTGGACCTTCGGGCTGCCACTTTCCTAGAAAAATACAGGACACAATTAGTTTGGATTAACCTTCGAGTAATTGCGTACAATTTGCTGACAAGTTACAATTATTAGTGACAATTATTATTCTTGAAATTCGCTTCGAAAAACAACACCAATTACATAAGAACTCATCATATCTAGCAATTTAGGAGTTTCATAGAGGATAGAGATTCTGAAATTTGAAGGAAACATGATATTTTCATTTTGTTAGTACATCTGAAAAAAAAAAGGCTAAAACAAAGCCTTTCAAAAAGATTTAGGCTCTGTTTGTTTGGAGCATCTTATTTTTCGGCCGATGGACGTTGGCTAAATACTGTACGTACGGTATATGCCCAACTTCCATCGGCTGCGAGATAACGTGCTACAAACAAATAGAGCCCTAATCTTGTTTAGAGTCCTTATTTTCAACGTTTTTTTTTTCAGACACACTACCATAAAGAAACTACAAAATTTCTTAATAGTTACAGTGTAGACTTTGGTAGCTCATTACTAACACTTGCGCTAGCTTCACAGTCTAGATTCAAGAATACTGCAGCACGGAAGTTGACATTGTGACTAATTTGGATACGTTTTGATGAATGCCTGTGATCATGTTCTTAGTAAACCATACTGTGAAAAATGTTTTGATCACTACAAAAATGGCGAGGACATCTATGCGATGGAGAACAGAAAATCTTTGAGGATAACAAAAAGAGAAAGAAGCACATGCTTACTAAACTATAAGGCATGCGTCAGCTGTTGGATCAAATTCATCCCAAATCGAAACAAATAATGCAATTCTGAGGCAAAAACGCTTCTCCTCGAAATTCCACAAGCGGTGGCGAAACACCCTCGCTGAAGATATTGAGAACGACAAAAAAATCAACAGTAGTGAACGAAGTCGTTTGTTTTGGAATCAACATGCCGATTTTTTTGGACAAATCAGTGACTTCGGCTTTGCTTATGCTTTATCTGAGAAGAAGAAGATAATAGAAAAGAGGGAATTGAATGAAAAGATACGTCTATGTGACTAACTTACGTAACTATCCAAGCAAGAAGTTAGTTCGCAATTAGTTCATTTTAAATCCGCATAAAAAATAGTGACACGAGAATCAACTAAACAAAGCAATTTTGAAGTTTATAGACGGAAGAGAGATGCTGCACCTGGAAAAAAATTGAGATTTCACTCATGATAGTGTGTCTAATGGAAATACATCGAAAATAAGGTATTTAAACAAGGTTAGGGCTCTGTTTGTTTGTAGCACGTTATCTCGCAGCCCATGGAAGTTGGGCATATACCGTACATCCCAATTAGCTTGTATAAGAGAAAGCCGACGAATAAGAGAAAGCCGACGAAAGCGATAAAACCTGAGTTGCAAATATCAAACTGACGTAACTGACCAACCGAAAACTTTACGTCATTTCAAAAATGCCGAGGACATCTATGCGATGGAGAACAGAAAATCTTTGAGGATAACAAAAAGAGAAAGAAGCACATGCTTACTGAACTGTAAGGCATGCGTCAGCTGTTGGATCAAATTCATCCCAAATAGAAACAAATAATGCAATTCTGGGGTAAAACCGCTTCTCCACGAAATTCCACAAGCGGTGACGAAACACCCTCGCTGAAGATATTGGGAACGACAAAAAAATCAAGAGTAGTGAACGAAGTCGTTTCTCTTGGAATCAGCATGCCAATTTTTTTGGACAAATCCGTGACTTCGGCTCTGCTTATGCTTTATCTGAGAAGAAGAAGATAATAGAAAAGAGGGAATTGAATGAAAAGATACGTCTATGTGACTAACTTACCTAACTATGCAAGAAAGGAGTTAGTTCGCAATTAGTTCATCTTAATTCCGCATAAAAAATAGTGACACGAGAATCAACTAAAGAAAGCAATTTTGAAGTTTCTAGACGGAAGAGAGATGCTGCACCTGGAAAAAATTTGAGATTTCACTCTTGATAGTGTGTCTAAAGGAAATACATACATCGAAAATAAGGTAGCTTGTATATATATATATAAGAGAAAGCCGACGAATAAGAGAAATATATATATAAGAGAAAGCCGACGAATAAGAGAAATATATATATAAGAGAAAGCCGACGAATAAGAGAAAACCGACGAAAGCGATAAAACGAGTTGCAAATTTCAAACTGACGTAACTGACCAACCCAAAAATTTAGGCCAATTTCATTTTGGATTACGGTATTCGGGTCACGCAGCGAAAAACACGGGCGCCCCAAAAGATTCACTTTTCGCTTACCATTCTTTTAATATAGAGGATGTTTCTGTGCGGGGGGGGGATGTTTTTTGTTGTTTTGGTGGTAATGCAACCGTTTTTTTTTCGCTGTGCATCTCTTCGTACTAATTTGCTTTCACAGGCGTCTCGTCCCTCTCTATTGTACCAATTTCTCACGTTTCTCGATCTGTTTAATTGTTAGTCCTCAAGATTCATCCATCCTTTTCGCCTGCGATGGCAGTATACCTAGTAAAGTGCCTTCAATATGGGTTGCGGACGTCTGGAAATTTGCGTCGACTCATTCGTATCTGCTGAGAATGCAATCCGCAGAGGTAAGCACACTCATTACTCACTCTCGTTTTTCTGAATGCTTTCATTCACAGTCTTTCGTTGTTTTTTTCCTCCTCCCTTTTATTCTTTTCGCTATGTGAGTGAATGAAAGCATTCAGAGAAACGCTTTCGATTGGATCTTTGAACTAAGTACATTGTTTCAGTAGGTGTTTTGGTGGCTTTCCTTACTCTGTCTAGTATCGTTTGGTTTACAGGCGCAGATCACTCAGACGAGGTGAGATAGCGCGAATACCATTTATTTTCTAGCTTACTAATGTCAGTGCCTCGTCTTCTCAGAATTTCGAGTTCGATCTCGACCAGCTCGTCAATCAACTATCAGAAGAAGAGCATACGCAACAGCGTAACTGCAGCCAAGCTCTAGCATCGAGCAGTTAGGCACCCAGCCACCTTGCCCTTCTTCAGGAAGCACATCGCCAGTGAATGCGAGTTTCATGAGCTCTTCCAGGTAATTAAATCTCCTTGTTAACCAAACATCTAGTTTCCTTACTTCACGGTCTCATTTTGCGTATGTTGTTTTGTTTGTTTGTTTTGTTTCACATGTTTTTGCGGTAAATCATAAGGGGTGATGTACTGTAGCGGAAGAAACGTATTCTGAGAAACTGAAGAAGGTTGCTTTTACATCTTCAAACTTTCATATTAGCTCAAAAAGTGTCATTTTCAGAAACATCCTGACCAATTCAGTGAATGTTCCATTGCTGAACAGAATCTTGTCGGTGTAGCAGTTGGTGCTCAGTGTAGAGACAGAAAGATCCCTTTTACTAGGTAGGGGGTGATACTTTACTTGTCAAATTTATTGCGGATTTCTTGTGCGAGTCACTGCTAGTTCCAAGTTACTAGAAATGTGTATAACCGGAAGCCTTAGCTTGATTTGCTTCCAGCACATTTGCTGCTTTCTTCATTCGAGCTTGCGACCAGATTCGTATGGCTGCTGTATCATTTGCAAATCTGAAATGTGCAGGTTCGCATGTTGGTGTCTCAGTTGGTGAAGATGGTCCAAGTCAAATGGCACTTGAGGTATGAGGTGTTGTTTTATGCGACTGACGCAGTAGCGGCTGAGAGAGCTACTGAACTAGCAGCCAATATAAAGGGCATCGTTTTCATTCGTACTGATCGCCCTGCTCTTCCTGTGCTTTACGATAACAATGAACCGTTCGCTGTTGGACAGGCTAAGGTGCAGCTTGAGACAGTTCTCCTTATAATAACTTAATCTACGACTTATCAAATGAATTTCATTCTAGGTGCTAAAAGAGTCACCGATCGATAAAATACGGAGCCGGCGTGACCATTTACGAAATTATGAAAGCAGCTGATCAGCTTGAGAAAGAGGGTGGGTTGACGTCTTGTTCGCTCGATCTTCTACAGAATTAAGTTTTCTATATCAGGCATGCACTGCTGTGTTATCGATCCGTTCACTATCAAACCTTTGGATGAAGCTACTATTGTCAAACACGCACAACGGACGGGAGGCACGGTCCTTACGGTTGAGGATCATTATCCAGCTGGAGGAATTGGAGTAGCTGTAAGTGCAAATCTTCTCTTTTAATCATCTTTCTGATCAAAATGTTCTAGGTGGCCGCTTGTGTCGCTAAGCATGGCATTCGCGTCAAATCTCTATGCGTTAATGATGTTCCTCGTTCTGGTAAACCCGATGAACTGCTCGATATGTTTGGCATTTCTGCTCGCCGTATGTTGAAGCTGTCAAAAAATACTGAACACTTCTTTAGACCGGCTGATTTTGAGTTTAAAAGAATTCTATGCAGAATCTTAACATTACATACCGCAGAGTTGTGTAGAGGTTTTATTCTCGCTGTCACCTAAGGAGCACTGATTTTTGTTGTTAATGACTAGAGTTTATACGAATACACTTGAGTCTTGCTTTTGCTTGGAAAATCAAATAAATAAGCTAAAATATGTTGTCTTCTGTCTTGACCGTCTCCGTTGGCACTAGGATGGAGAAGGCATTCAGCATCACGTGTCAAGGTATGATCTATTCTACGACTAGGAGACGCGAGACCGTATTGCGGACATCGTCTTAGCAAGTCTCAGTTTATTCTTCCCTGTCTTCAAAGAGTGAATAAACGGGACGAAATAAATAACAAGTATAAACCAGCTAAGTACACGATTGGGTTTGTTTTGACAATGCGGTCTCGCGTCTCCTGGTCATAGAATGATAAGTGAAATCATAGCATAATGATAAAAACTGCAAAAATAACGAAAAACATCATCCCCCCTCCCCCGCACAGAAACATCAGAAAACAAAAAGGAACAAGTTTTTCCACCGCGACGCCAACTTTGGGCGATTTAGGCGTAAAATCAATTGTGTTGTGCAAAGTACGCAACACAATTGATTTCCTAATTTACTGTAAGACGCGGTGGCTGTAGAAGTAATATTGTCAAATTAAGGCCGCGGACGGGCCGGAAAGGCCTTTTGAGGCCGCGGCTCGGCCGGTCCCAGTGTCTGAGTACTTATGTACAGAATCAAACACACCTTCGCCCAAAAATTACGGCCAGCTCAACGCACGCATTCAATAACTAGACTGGTTCCCACAACTTACTTCAAGGGCCTCTAACTGTTTGATAAATAAGCAAATGTGTTGTACACCCTGCTCACCAGCCACGTCGAACAGATCGATCAATTCTAGAGAAATTTCATGCAATAGTGATACCATATGTAGAAGAAATTCGTTATCTAAAGAGCTGACAGAACTTTTTCCAACAGATCTCTTCCGATAACTTGGAAACTGAGCTTAAGCGTGAGCAAATTGGCTAGAATTAAGAGTTAAATTCAAAGTATTGTCCCAAGAGTCCCAAGGGAATGGTCAGCTTGCTAGGTAGAGATTAGTGTCACCCTTTTACTGTCACAGTCGGTGACTGCTGTATAGACCTCGACATGGCACTCAATTGACATCATGCGTCAGAAAAGCGTTCTTGGTGCAAATTCAATGTTAACTACCTAGCTCACACCTGTAATTGATACTCGCATCAGCTGCAAAAAATATCTCCTTACCCAGAATATAAAATTTGTTTGATGGAAAGCTATTTGGAACTATACACTTCTTCTGCGTCGCTTGCGACAATGATGAATACAAAATTTAGAAGCAAGCCTCCTCTAGAAGCTACTTCTCAAGACACGGTTTGCCTCTGTAGAACTCGTCAAGATTCTCAAAAGAATATAGAGCATTTGAAATCAATTCAGTTCGATTCAATTCTGGCTACGACTGAGATTGGCAATTATTTATTTAGATTTCGGCAATGATTCGCTTTTTCTAAAGATGAGCACAAGCAATTTAGAAACTACCCAACCAAACATTTTCTAGTCCTAAAAGCAAAATTCTGTGCTTTCTGTCAACCAGCAACGTGCTACAGGCTAACTCACTTTTCGTTCGCCGTTAAAGTTCTGGGAGATCGCTTACTGACCGCTTGAAAAGGAATCAAACATTAAGCTTTGGAAATCAAACAGCATGCATTAGTAAAGCTTGGATGTATTGACAGCAAGTATTTTTCCGAAGAAAGGAGCTTGCTTGTTTTGCAAGTCATCGATGCGTACTTGTCATTGAATGGTTCAACGCTTCCCCCATTGATTTAATGATCGAATAACTCTTAAAGCTTTGAAAACCATGACTAGTGAGAGGAAAAGAGACTAAGTAAACAAGTAAAATTTGAGTTAGTATTACATGTATAGGGCCTTTGAGAAATTGTGACGATAGCGCGACCGCGCGCGACACGCACGCCACTTCCGGAAATCACGCTTTCTTAATTTTCATTTTGTCATGGTTTTTTCGCCTATGTATATGATAATATAATATTTATACACTGGAAGTGACTGAGCTGAACGTTGAGGTGATGCCTCCTTGTATAAGCGCTTTATGCTCCTGTGAGCGCGAGGTCCGCAGTAAGATCCGTCGTCACGATTTTATAAATGAACCATAGATATATTTGTAAAGAAAACAATTCTGATAGAATCAAGGAGGTCCTTCGAGAGAGTACAGTTCAGGGTCAAGCGTGGGGTGTGGCACACCACACCTGGGGGGGGCGTATTGAGGAGTCAAAAGGGGAGGGGGTCGTAGTTGGGCAATCTGATAATAGTGATAACCAGGGTAAAGCGGGGGTGCGGCACGCCGCAAGGGGGGTCGTAAGGGGGGGATAGGTAGGGGAGGGGATCGTATCGACCCAAGGTCAAAAGCACTTGTACAAGCTGTGTGACTAAATTGACTTGATGAAAGCGCTGTTGAATTCCTGCGAAATTCAAGTTCAACGACACAAACTCGCAGATACCGTATGCCTACCGTAACCTGCCGTACCTCTAATCAAGCATAATTGTCGTAATCCGCGTGTCGAATAACCCCTATGCGCCAAGTTTCAGCGAACTCTGAGGTCTCCGCAGCAGTAAACAACCTTGTATAAAGCAGTAATTTAAAACATGATTAACTTCATCTTAACGGTGAGTAAGCTACATCTTCTTGCACTCAATACAATGCACTACTCCTTCATTGTCCACCTTAGGGATTCCGCTTCAGAAGACCTCCAAACTATTGAATTAGAGGCCAACCAAAATCGCTTTTAGGTTTTGATCGCTGTGCTTTCACTAAATATTACTCAGAGCTAAGAAGACGAATCAGGCTCAAAACATCCCTATGGAATCTACGAGGTTTAAGCTATTGATTCATATAGATATTGTTCGCTAAAAATGTTTTTTTGATATAGTTAATGGCCTGCGGCAGCCCCCCTCAAAACCTGCGGCTGCCGCAGGTTTTGAGGGGGGTGCCGCAGGCCATTAACTTACCTTCAAAACGTTCAAACAGCTGCCTTTTTCATGTCAACCTATAGATCCATCCTTCCTCTCTCCGTAGTAGCATTTGCCACCCCCCAAGCGCCCCCTCTCAGTAGAGATACGGTGGGTTTTCTGAACCCTACTCACCGAAGCACCTAGTCCGACAACCGCCGAAAATATTGGTGTACGGTAGGAGTCGAAAAATTGCCATCACACCAAGGGCGGGAGCCAGGAGCGTTTGAAATGCGCACTCTCCATTCCACTCGTCTGCACCACCACGTTCATCTTGGTTCATGTTTTTGTTTTTGATGTTCTTCACGATTTCGGTTTTGATTTCCATCGTATTCTTGAATTTTCTCCTTGTTTTTCGGTGGATTTGTCAAACAAACAACTTCTGATGTCTGATTGATTTGATGATTTGATATGATTAAAGTGCTCTTCTGATGTCTCCTTTTCTTTTTTGTGCCTACTTCGCCATGAGTGATTGCTGAACCTTTTTCTCCATCTGATAGTTAATATTCGTCCCCCAAGTTGGTTGTTTGTTGCCAAGCCGTTACTTAATGAAAATCATTGAATCAGCACTGTTTCTTTTATTGCCTTCGATTTTCCCTTTTTGATGAATGTCAATGTGACCATCGACAAACGACCGTCTCGAAGCTCGTTTGATTTTGTTCGAACAAATGCATCATTTCAGTCCTTGGCTGAGCGTTCCCAAGATGCCGCCACGCAAGGGAAAGAGAAAGAGAAGCAAGAAAACCACTGCTCTCAATGATGTTAAGAAAAGCGGGTAAGACTTTCCATAATTTTTAATCTTGGGTGGAGGAAGGGGGGGGGGGGGAGGTGCTGATCCTAGCATGGTATCTGCTGGCATTGCTATGAAGATTTCCTGCCAAAATCATGCAAACTTCAGGCTAGAACAATGGGATCCATCCCATCCCAAAAAGCTGGATGAACCTTGTGCGTGAACTTAAAGCGATGGTGAATGGTTTCCAGTCGAACGTATTTTGGATACCATATGTATCGTGGGAACGAATAGAATGTGGCGACGTCTGGTGAGTTGTTTGCGTGTGTGCACATTGACATTGTATACTTTTTAAATTTGCTCGATGTAGGTGCAGTGGAAGCCAAGTTGGTCGAGGCAGGTTACTCCATCAGCTGGCGAGATTTCCACGCAAAGGCAACTGTTCTAGGCTGTATTGTCAAGGTAATATAGCCATTTCTGTCGTTTGAAATGATCACCTTTATTGTTTAACACGATATTTCTGAGTTTTTCTTCTCATTTACTGTACCTATAGTTGAAAATTTCCTCTCAAAAATTTTCTTGTAGGATGAAACCTCAAGGTCAAGAGGTCGTCAAAAAATTGAGTGGAATCGAAGGGAGTTTATGTGCTCGGATTCTGCAGTACGTATCACTGATCCGGATGGGACGTCTACTTCGAGGTCACTTTTTCATCGCTATGTTTTCTTTGCTACTAATTCTTACAAGAGTTTCTCCTGTTTGAACGTTGTTAGTTTTGTACGAAAGAACTTCAAAACACTACTTTCAAAGCATCTTTCAGAATAGAACTACAGCTTTATTCAGAATCACATGTTTTTCGGATCATCATAGTTCTGCTTTTGCGTCTCTGTGTTAGCACCATCATCGTTTTACTTAGCTGTACTTATTAGTTCAATCACAGTATAAGCTTGTAAGGTGTTACCATATCCTGATGTAAAACGGCGCTTTCCCAACGCACTGTTTGAATTTTTGGAGGATAGGGTTCCGATTCCTAGACCGAAAGTTGAGGACGAGGCTCGCAGCGATGGCCTGCTGTCTGTTTATGATGATATGTTTTTTACTCTTCTAAATTCTAGTATCTTGCAACCCCACCCCATCAACTCGGGTAAATATCCCCGACTGTCTGAAACGTGATCCAGACGCTCCAAAAGTGGCGAGAAATGTCACAGTGAATCAGAACGTGAAAGATGAAAATGAGGATTTTGTCAATGCGTCATCCGCATGTGCTACAAATAGTGGAAATAAGAAGACTTGCATATTACATAAAATGAAGGTGATGAAGTGTTGATAATCTACGGTAAGGAGAGTCGCTTTATGGTCTATGTCAATGGTTCTTGTTCAGATAAGGAAAGTCTTTGCAAGATCGTGACATTTACTGAAGCAAAGACTGCCCCTTCTTCTAAGAAGAAGGGTGCGCCTGTATGCACGACTACGAAAGACCAGCGTCTGAATGCTGAGAGGGTATCTAAGAGCACTGATGATGGTGAGCTGGATTAAATTTCTTATGATTTTATGTGTGTATCATAAAGAAGCTTGCTTCACTAGTACATCTTCAGAGGTTGTTCAAAAACTGCAACTCCTGCAAAACGTGTATCTCCCGTTTATCAATTGGAAGTAGTTCGAGCAAACGGAACATCAGCCATGGAAAGCAACACAGGTAAGTGTTGATCACTGCCGTGTACGCTTATAACAGCTTTGATGCCAGCGGGCTCACTCAACTTTTCTCACGATCTAGCTAGATAGAACATCATTTTGTCAAGTATGTCATTTTACATATTGGCGGAGCCATGTCATTAAGTTAGTGGACATGAAACAATTTAGCCAATTTAACAATTTACAATTTAGATGGCCTTGTTGCCGTAGTTTTTACCAAAATTTTCTCAAATAAGCGCCCTGGCCCGCTTTTGTTGATTTGCTATCAATTTAGTTATTCTAAGCGAAGTAAAGGGCTAGTTTGCTCAGATTTGGACTCGTCCGGCCATAGGCAGCTCTTGCACGGCCACGCTTTCAAGTATCTAATGACATCAGAGCAATTATAGATTTCTGGCATATATCCCGTTGAAAAGCGACAAGGTGGTCTGACTAGTCATGGTTTCGATCTCATGGTGCTTTACTTCCTACAACAAAGAGGTCTAATGCCTCGCCTTCACGAAGTAAGTATTTTTTTAACGCACGATTCAAGTTTGTAGATAAAACCCTTGCTTTTTCACTACGCTTTCAGATGAGACCAATGATGGTTCACGAGAAGAAAAATCCACCGTCATAGATGAATTTTTGATAGAAGAGATCTTTACGAAAATGACATAGCAAAAGTTGTAAGTATGACACCATTTTCTATGTTATCATTCATATCAAGTTTATAGACTGAGAGTTTTGAAGCATTGGAGGAACCTTCGAATCTTGCCTTATTGTTCGTGGAGATTTTGCGCTTCTTTGTTCCCCGCGATCATCTGAATGAAGTACAAGTTGTACAAGTGGTTACGAAAAATGTCATGACGAGGGACAAAACTCATTGGAGCAGAAAGTTATTGCAGATTGCAGGTACCTTCATCTCCATATTCTGGTCATTTCAGTTTATCGATGTTGTTTTCCAGATCCCTTCAGAACCGAAAATGTGGTTACGTTTACTAGAGCCTATCAAGCATACTTTTTCAACTGTTTCCTTAAGTCATACTTACACTTTGCTGTTCCACATTTATTGCTATTTTTATAATAAAAATGAAAGAGAAAATTTTTTATGTGTGAAGCTATGTGATGCTCAAGAGCTCTCAAAGTTGGGAATTCGGGGTGGGAAGAGGGGGGGGGTAGAGAATGGGGAGGGGGGTCGTGCCGAGGTCCGGCCTAAGGGGGGGGGTCGTATCCGACGGTCGTGTGCCGCATCCCCCGCTTTACCCTGGTACAGTTTTTCTGTGCAAAGTCAAGGTAAATTTTGACCCTAGCTATCCTAGGGTTAAATTCTACCTTGAGTGCATAATGGAAAGTTGAAGGAGAAATGATTATTGAGGTAAGTTTTAACCTCAAGGTAGGTTGATGAATACGGGTTTATGCGTTTCAAGGTCCATTTCTACTCCAAGGTAGACTTAACCCATGAGATAATTTCATTGCGATCATGTTGTGAATAGGGGTTATAAGCCAAAATGCTAGCCGAAGTAAATTTTAACCTTGAGGGTTCGTTGATGAATACGGCCACAGGTTTACTTCCTTCCACGGTTTTGATACCGCAACCCGGGCCTGATATATATTCTTGAAAAGCGTGAAAAAACATCCAGAACTGGTGAATTCATTCGAAAAAATGAAACTGTAGTGGTCATCATTTCATTATTCAACATCATTAGAAGCGCTAGCTCTAGCAACACTGGTAACAGGGGGTAACGTGGGTAACATGGGTAACACCGCTAACGATGATACACGGTAACACGATTAACACTGTAACACTGGCAAGTAATGTAGTACAACGGCTTTCAATCTGAGTGTCGCGGTCGACGTGGTTCAATTCTCGCCAGCCACCTCGCTTGGGTCTCTCATGTGGTACATACCGCATCCTCTAAGACCTTCACGGTATCGGATGCGGTATTGTACCACGCGAGAGACCCAAGCGAGGCGGCTCTCGAGGACCTGAACCCGTCGACCGTGAGTGACGCTCAGGGGCGCTATGTATCAATCACACGATCGTGAGATCGTGTGCTCGCTAGCGTTGAAAACATGCCCATGATCAGGTGCGAGCACACGATCTCGCGATGTATGAAGCACACGATTTTGCCACAAGATCGTGTAGCAGCGCACCATCTGTCGAGATCGTGCGCTGCTCGGCGACATATCGTGTGCTCCCCATGTAGACGTGTGAAAGTCCATGGTGTCGCCACGTCCAATGTTTCGTGCACGCCTAGGACCTAGGACGCCACCTTTTGCTTAGCCATAAATCTTCACGTTCGTTCTTCTTTGATGAATTTTCATCCGTGTTTTGCATCTGATGTTTGTGTTTCGCATTTCACCCACAAACGATCATCTCTTCTCTTGTCCTTCTCAACAAAAAGTCCCATCTTTGTCGTGCTTTTCGTTTTTTCATGCAACCGTTTTCGTTCTGAGTTGCTTTTATTTCACTTCGTCAACAGGATGCACTGGCATGAATATGAGCTGATTATAATGTGAGTCGCGATTAAAAGTTCAGTTGCTCTATGTTTCTGTTATGCTCAGTTTTATTTAGTCCACTGAAAAAATTTAGGTCTTGATATGATGCAATGGTGGGCTGCTGCGTATATGGCGACAGTCCATATCAAATTCAAAATCGAAATACACTGTTTTTTAATCTGCCATCGTTTAAGGTAAATGCTAGTAATCAATCATGAATGATATTCAAATTCTGTCTTGAACTTTTCCTTTCTCCCATTGCATCCTCGCCTTGATGAGCATACATCACGCGATTTCTTCGCCTCGCGATTTTCAAAACAAGACAATAGATACGAGTTCATTGCATGCTGTCCATCTTGCATTTCGGTTTGATAGTTAGTCTCAACTAGTCGTGCTGCAAAACTATCACGACCGAAATGCAAGGTGGTACACATGCAGTGAACTGGTAGCAGTTGTCCGGTTGGTTGAATCGCGAGGCGATGAAATCGCATAATGTATGCCCAGCCATTTAGGCCTCAAGCATAGTTCACGTTATTTCTTCCCTTTATTCTCCCGACCGGCAACTCTACGCGTCTACACCTGGTGCATTAACTTCGGTTGCGATAGTTCACAGTCATGTCGTAAAACTATCACAACCGAAGTGCGGGGGGATCGCTATGCAATGCACACCTAACAGTTGTCTGTTGCGAAAAACGCGAGGCGACGAGAACGTGAACTATATCCGAGGCTTTGGACCATTTAAAAAATCCCAATGAAAAAACGATTTGGTCGCTGGAGTACTTCCGATTCAACTGTTGAATCTCAACAACAATCCCTATCATCAAATGTACATTTGTTTGCAGAGAATGACGAGATCAGCGGTAAAAGGTGAAGATCGAAAGGCGAAAATGTGCCAAAAGAAATGTCTACTACGTTATTCCTCATTCCTTCACGACTGTGTGAGCCCCAATAGTTTCATCCTTTGTGACTTTGTCATTTGATGGTTAAAGGCAGCGTCCAGGCAGATTTGGACGTATGGGGCTCTAACGTGGAAACAATTTTCGGGGGTCTAACTAAGATACTGCCCAAGCGGCAGCGCAAACGGTGCAGTCGCGGCTGAGAAATTCGTCCGCAAACCAGCCCCCGTGACCGTATTCGCATGGATTCATGGCCCGGCACCATCGTTTCGCGTGGATCCGAGCGCGAAAGCGCCACGAGTCCATGCGAATACGGTCACGGGGGCTGGTTTGCGGACGAATTTCTCAGCCGCGACTGCACCGTTTGCGCTGCCGCTTGGGCAGTATCTTAGTTAGACCCCCGAAAATGTTTCCACGTTAGAGCCCCATACGTCCAAATCTGCCTGGACGCTGCCTTTAAGTTCACCCTAACATTGTTCGGTTAATTAGCTTTTCTCATAAGTTCTTGTGTGAGCTTACTACAGCCCATGTCAGTACGGCCCTAATTCATCACATGTTTTTCGTGCGCCTACGTTTGGCGTTCAAATCTGCCTCATCGCCTCTTGGTCCGCAAGGGTGTTGCGGATTTAGAGGTATTCTGCAGAAAGATGCTAATGGCATGCAGGCTGTAGGCAATATGTTGGGAGTTAGCCAAAATGTGCGCCGAAAAAACTAGCTTTTTCATTTGATTTGTAGCTTGATCTCATCTCTTTACTGGAGTTGTGATGGTATATATTTTACGCTTTTTTCACATTTCTGCTATCTCTGCAGAACTAATGCTTTTGAAGATCGATATGCTGTAAAAATATGAGAATCTTGGAAGGATATAGATGCTAGGGAAAACCTTAGCAGCTATCAGCCTCCGCAGTATATCTTTTTCCCCTTTTTGCCTTTGAAATCAATCCCGTTGTCAGCTTCACTTCTAACAATAAGTTAATATTTCCAGGTCAACAGCTTCGTAACACTCTCCGTCACAATTTGCTGATCTCTAGTACGATGTGGATGAAGTGTGAATGAAACGAGTGAGGCATTTTATGTTGCTCTTGTTCGTCACTTTTGTGGTGTATCAGGGCTGGTCAGTTCAACAAGGTAAGCAGTTATCATTTGACTATTACCCACGCTGATACCCAATAGGCCTAAAATTTTTGTTTCAGCTAAATTTCAATCTGTGCTTTTCTTTCCATCGCAAGAACTTGTGGAAGAGAAGGAAGAATCTTTTCTTTTGCTTGAAAAATTTTGTTTTGTAGTTTGATGAATATTACGATTCTTGCATTGTTAAATATCGCATCTGAACATAAAATTTGTGTCAATCGTGCTCCCTTTTCCGCGCAACCAAGCATCCGCGGTGCGTAGGCATAGCGCTGCGATCCTCCATCGATCCGGCATATTTGAAAGCTCGGACGGTATGCCGGCGGACGCGGCAAGGATTCTAGCGTTGCAGTCGAGCTAATCTGAGAGGTAGCACATAGCTGACACAGATTGTAACTTCAGAATGCTCTAGAACTACTGTGTCGCAGTCGTCTTTGAGTTTTCGTGAAACAGCTTGTGCACACTTCATCAAGATTACGCTCAAATAACTGCTTGGAAACATAGAATGTAGACGATTTGCCAGCACGAGGTTCGGGTGGACATGCTGAGTTTTTTCTGCGCTAAATTGCTGAAATCAAAAAAATCTCCATCCTATTTTGGTCAAGAATCTGAAAGGTGGAAAGGATCTGTTTTTGAAACGTGCTGGTCTGTTATAACTAGTCACCTAGTTCACCCACACATTTAAATGGGGATCTCAACCACATTGGCTCCACGAGCTACAATCGTAACTAGAAGCTGTGAGGGGTTGGATAAGAGTATTTTTCTAGTACATTACATTCAAGTAAGTCACAATGTTCGGACAATCAAAACTACATGATGCGACATTATGAAAGCAACATTTTTGCAATTACGAGTAGGGAGTTTCAGCAAAACCATGACAAATTAAGGCCCACATACTCTTTTTTAATTACATCAATCTTCCTAGCTCCATTTCGAAGGAATCCATTCAACAAAGAAAAGTTCTTTTTTGTCAGCTGTAGCCGACGATAATAATGATATTTACGATCATTATCAAAATTACAATCATTGATTTTGGGCTTCAATAAAAACAATGAGAAAATTCGACGCGAACAGAGTGATCACACTCAAAAATTACGAGAAGTGAGTCTACGGCGTCACTTCGCGTTGGCGCCAGCACGGCCACTCGCTATGCGCCAGTTCGGGTTCTTGGCGCACACGGACACCGCACATCATGTAACTACACGATCTTGCGCACACATTGATACATCGCGGGCGCCTCGGCAGATCGTGTGCTGGTTCAAGATCGTGTAATTGCCAGATCTTGAACCAGCACACGATCCTGAGATTGATACATGGCACCCCAGATCAGGGTGTCCGTGTGCGCCAAGGAACCCGGACTGGCGCATAGCGAGTAACCGCGCTGGCGTCAACGCGAAGTGACGCCGTACACTCATTTCCCGCAATATTTTAAATGTAATGCGTCTTTTCGCGTAGAATTTTCTCCTCGTCTTTGCCGCCCATAATCTATGAATGCAATGACATCTACGGTTACTATATGTCTTCCAACTCCGACTGTTCTTTAATCTTGGCATAGATATGAAATGTCGTATGATGTTGAGCAACACGACCAAGATGGCAACTTCTCTTTATTAACTTCGGCCAACGTTTCGGCGCAATCGCCTTCGTCAGAGCCTAGAAAGTCGAATAATAAAGTCAAATAATAGTCGTTTAATAATAAGGATCCCATTCCTCAGACGTCAACGAAGAAGCAAGATAATTCAATTGGAAGCTAGTACGAAGGAAAGAAACAGAGCCACGGCTGAGCAATACTCACCTTAATCGTTGCATAGGGGGTACGAGGGACCACCAACTATGCAATAACTATACCTCTGCCCTATTTATAGTAATGAGGTGACCTGACCTAGCCTCAGAAACCGCAAAGGGCCTGATATGGCGCGAGTTCGTTGGTTATTGCAATACACTCCTCCTTCCGGTTCATTTTTGGATTTTTAGCGCTGATCCAAAACGCTTCCAAAGTCTTGCGCGATAGGACTTCGGGTTCATAGGACGAAATCGAGACCCCAATTTGTATTTCAGCATTTTCGTGTTGCCGTAAGCGATGACTACCGAGCGGTGTACTGGTCCTTGACTTGTTCAGTCCATCCAGATGTTCCTTAATGCGGCAGCAAAGCGGGCGCCCTGTTTCGCCTATGTATGTGTCGCCACATGATAAACATGTGATGATGTATATCACGCCTGCCACCATACAGTCTCCCTCTCTACCGAATGGACAAACTACACAGCCTGGAGTCGAAGCAATTCCGATCATACGCTCTATTCCTGACCAATTGCCTTTTTAGGTTGGGCGGAGGAATATCGACCACCCTAAGCGCGTCTTGCAAACCCGCCTGATATACGCATCGCCGCACCGCGCTGCTTATATCACCTGTATCACCTGTATCCCCGTTGATCATCGTGTTGCACGAGCGGGTACCAGTGATGCCTCCATTCGTCCCTGTCTCGGGCGATTGTTGACCAATGTTTACGTATCGAACCAGGAACACGTGGAACGCTCTGAAGGACTTCATCAGAGGACTTCGTGAACATATCTGACCATCGCGTCGGCGGTCTTCCTCGTTCGCGTTTGACGTCCAGTGGTATCCAATCTGTTACAGCTCTCGTCCACCGGTTATCGTCGCAACGCATTACGTGCCCGGCCCATCTTGTTCTGCTTGGCGTACGCGGCAGCGTCCCTGATCTTCGATCGTTGACGTAGGGTAGAACTTCGTAATCCTTGCCTCACTTGCGTGAGTCGATTCACTCCTAGCATCACTCTCTCAACAGCTCGTTCGATGACGCTAACCGCGTGTTCATCCTGCTTTCTCATTGTCCATGTTTCTGAAGCGTACGTTAAAGCAGGAAGAACCGTCGAGTTGAAAAGGTGGGCGCGGAGCCGGATGTTCTTGGTCTTCTTCACTACGTCCTCAATTGTCTTATATGCTCCCCATGCTGCACGTTTCCTCCTGCTCAGTTCCGGAGCTAGATCGTTCATCATATTGAGTTCACGACCTAGGTAGGTAGGTGGTAGGTGTAGCTTTAGCATTCGGTGATGTTCGTCCCGTTGAGCATGAAAGGAGCATCAGGCACTCTTCCGTTCCTCATGAACATCGTCTTCGTTAGATTCAGCCGTAGACCGATCTTTCCACACACTTCGTCAAACTGGGCCAGCATTTGTTCCGCCTGCGTGATGCTTGGTGTTATCAATACGATGTCATCAGCAAAGCGAAGGTGGTGTAGTTGCCGGCCGTCGACTTTCACTCCCAAGTTGTCCCATTCCAACTTACGCATGACGCTCTCCAGAGCGGCACTGAATAGTTTCGGCGATATAGTATCGCCTTGTCGCACGCCTCTCTTCACGTCAATGATGATGTCCTTGTAGAATGGTGTTATGGTGGTTGTGAAGTCGTTATACAGCTCACGAATTATCTTGATGTAATGAGTCGCAATACCTTGATTGCTCAAGGCATCGATGACGGCTTCAGTCTCAACCGAGTCAAAGGCCTTCTTCAAGTCGATGAAGGTGAGACACAGCGGCATCTTATACTCTCGTGACACTTCAATGAGCCTTGACACCGTGTGTATGTGGTCGATCGTGCTGAATCCTCTTTGAAACCCAGCTTGCTCGCATGGTTGTCCTTCGTCCAACTCTCTTCCGATCCTGTTGAGAATGACTCGCGTAAAGAGTTTGTAGACTACAGACAACAAGCAGATAGGGCGATTATTGCCGATGTCGCAGGGATCTCCCTTCTTGTACAGCAACACGGTTTTGCTGGTCTTCCATTGCCTTGGAACCTTGCCTTCCGCCAGGTACCGCGTGAAGAGCCTTGCCAAAGTCTTGATGAGAACTGACGAAAGATTCTTCAGATGTTCTGGCTTAATCCTGTCGGGACCGGGTGCTGTACGGTTTTTCATCGACATGATAGCATGACGAATCTCGGAAGGAAGAACAGACGGTGCGACATACTCGTCCTCCTTGAGATGGCATGGTGGAAGGTGGACGTGGCTCGCAAAAAGATCCGAGTAGAAGTCGTGGATGACCTTCTCCATTGATCTTCGGGAAGCAGTTATGGTTCCGTCAGGACGACGAAGTGCGGTCATCTTTGTCTTGAAGTTGACGAAGCTTCGGCGGGCGTTGCATATACTTCTTCCAGCCTCCGCGGCGTCAACCATCACTGCTACTCTTCTCTCCTTAAGGTCTTCTTTTATCGCTTCTCTGCATCGCTTCGCAAGCTCGGACGTCAGTCGGTAGTTGCCTGTGGCTCGTGCGCGTCCACGTTGGCGTATCAGCTCCAAAGTCCCCGTGGTGAGACGCCTTCTCGTACTTCTTAGACTCTGAGCTTCCTTGGCACAACCGTGGAGATGTTGTACGAACCGTTCGTATTCTTCGTCGATGTTGTCCATCACGGTATCTCGCCATGAGCCGGATATCGAAGAAAACAGATCCCAGTTGGTGGTATTCATGGGACGGTGTTTCCTGAACTTGACGGCTCTCTCTCCATTCCGCGGAAAGTAGAATTTGGCGCGCAGGAGACGATGGTCTGATCCCGTGTAGAACTTCGGAACAACAGCGACGTCCGTCAGGCAGTACCTTCTGTTGACGATGATGTGGTCAATCTCGTTATGGTACTCTCCACCGGGCGATTCCCAGGTCCAGCGTAGGGAAGAGGGCTTTTGGAACTGTGAGTTTCCATGGATAGTCCTCGTCGTCATGATAAACTCGGACAGTCTCTCCCCTTGTTCGTTCCACTGCAAACCATGGGTTCCGATGTGAAGTTCCTCAGTCGATCTTCTAGTTCCGATCTTCGCGTTGAAATCACCGACGAGGATCTTGTAGAAGGTATGATCTTCTCTGTAGAACTTCTCCAAGTCCATATAAAATTCCTCGAGTTCGTCCTCGTCGTAGCTGGATGTTGGGGCGTACGCAATGAAGACGGTCAAGGCAGGGATTGATCCACATCTTGATATTCGCAAACTTCCGATTCGAGTTGTAAGTTGTTCGAACGAATCGATGTTCAAGGCCAAACTCGTGTTGACAAGGACTCCCACTCCACCTACTCCTCGACTGTCGTATGTTCCTAGAAACAGTTCTTCTCCAGTCTCAAATGTGGCGTTCAGCGGGTGGTGCCTCCTTGTCTCGGTCAGTCCGATGACGTCGTACTTAACCTTCCTTGCTTGCATCATGAGATCTTCGATAG